ACGAAGCCCGACTTTGTCCCACTATGTCGGCACTCCTGTGCAGGTCCGGAAGTAGCCTGACCTCAGCCCCTTGGCAACTCAAGATGGGACACAAAGATACACAAAGGGTCATCTCGGAAGATTACGGCAACTCGGGTCATCTCGGATCTTCTCGGGTCTTCACTGCTGCCGAGTTACCGAGTTCCTTTCGTTCCTTTGTTGCTTTCTCATCTTTCTCCACGTTTCTCCTGGATGCCAATGCCTTGGTGGTTAAGGATACTCAATCTTCAGGAGTCCAATTCTCCAAAGTGAGTTTTGCACTTCCAAAAGGAGGTCGTTCATGAGCCCATTGAGTGGGCTTTCAAAAGACGAACAAAAGTACGAATGCTCAAACCCTGAATTTCCAGTAGCTACCACAATTGGAATACAGAACTGCCGGAAATTAGGACGGAATTAGAACTTAGAACGGAATTAGAACATTGAGAAACTGTACAAAAACATTGAGAACTGGCTCATGATCGGCTCATGATCGGCTCATGATCGGCTTATCGGCTCATGGGTGATGCAGATCGATGCAGCTGTTTGGCCAAGTCACACCAGCGCCGCTTGGATCCGCCTGGTGTTTCACCCTGTGTGAAGATTGCGTGAAGCAGGCGAGGATCAAGCCAAAGCTCAGGATGGGGATTTCGCCCAGTGTTAACTTTATACAATTAAAAAGTTAAGGCTTTCTGATTTCTCAAAACACAAAAAACAACGCAATCTTTACATTCAGCAGGTGTGTGTGTATAAAAGAAACCACGACTGCTGAAATGTGGTAGTCACATGCAGAATCGGACAATGAATGCAGTCAATGCAACACCCAGCGTAGTGTTTGTTATTTATAGCAACCGTTATAGAAAGATTATCTGGCTCTGCGTGGAGGTTCACATATTCAAACGCCCGCAGCGTAGTTTTTGCTGTTGTGGCTCTCCAGCTCTATTAACATGTTTGGCAGTGGTGAAAAGGTATCGTGCTGACAGGACACCATTTGCTGCACGCCCCAAGAGGCCCGAAGAATCTTAAAGGATTGCGACTGCGGCGAATGTTGCTGAATTGCCTCCGACCCCCATGCGTTACGCCTACCGGAGGAATTCGGTTCAAGCTGTATGCATCTTGGTCCTACAGAGAAAGCCATGCGAGGCCAGGCAGTCGGGCAGTCCCCAGTTTAAAGATTTTAAAGACTTGACAGTTCAGTCAAACACAACAGCTGTAGCAGACTGAACTGGAAAGTCAATGCAATTTACTACCTATACTACAGTACCTATACCATCCTATACCATCCTACCTGAATTTGTGATCAACTTACGTTTTACACCGAGCTGAAGGACTTTAGTCCAAGGATCTCAAGTGAAGGATTCAACGAGTTGTGGCTCCTTGGTGCTGGTGCTTGGTGAGGCCCACTCCAGTGCTTCGAGTGTGGAGGAGACCACCTTGCTCGAGACTGTCCCCTACAAAATCTACAAACCAAAGGGAACGGCAAAGGCAGGAAAGGCACCTCAGTAAGATTCAGTAAGCACACTGATAAAAACCTTCGTATTCAAAAGGCACTCCATTTGCAGAGTGAATTGACAGCTATGAAGAGTGTCATGGAGTGGCATAACTGCCATAATTCATTTTGGAATATTTTGGAGTCATTGCTCATGAGACGTTCAATCCCAACTGGAAGAATGTGCAAGAGTTTAAAAGATTATATATTCATATATATACACACATTATATATATACACATTATATATATATATATACATTATATATATATTTGAAATCAACATTCCAGCTGCAGCACCTAAGATGCGAGGCACCAACTTTGTGGAGTGCTTCACTTGCGGCGGGGCTCATTTGGCCCGTGAGTGCCCTGAAAGAGGTGGAGCTTTCTGAGCTTTCGGGTTTTCGTGGTTTGTTTTTCGGCTTTTCGCTTGCTCTCAACGCTGCAAGAGGTAACAACGTTGAGGTTGCCGGATTTTGGTCCCTCAACTCGTGTGGCTCAGGCAGAGGAAAGTCCATGGGAAAGGGTTTGGAGTGCTTCAATTGCAGTGGGCTCAGATCGCCGACCTGAACTATTTGAGTTTTTTTTTGGATCCTTTTCCATCCTATTTTACAAGGGCTGTGAGGTTGCATCAAGTGTCCACCCTATGCTCAGCCCAGTGTCCACAGCAGACTCAATGTCAATGTGTACAACTCTGTGAAAGTTGCAAAGCTGACAAGCTGACATGCTATAAGCACCAAGTGTAAATGAGTCGCTTGATGATCTTGATTGAAAAGGCTCTTTGTTTATTCAACAATGACAGACATAACGGGCTCAGTCGGGTGCAACCACAAAGATACACACTAATGAACGACTTTTCGAACAATGATTATTTTTGGAACCAAAGCTGTATTGTGTGAGGACTGTGTGTTGGAAGCAATGACCCACAAACACCTGAATTATCCTGAATCACGTTTTCTAGCCAGAAGCCATTTTCTTGCGTAGCTACCATGTTGCCTTCGTACATCATGTATGTCACCTTTTTGTTTGTTGTGTGTCCTACATCCTCTCGACTCTCGACGGTTCCCACAGTTTGCTTTGTCGTTCGTTGCACAAAGCACATTATGGACAGCTACGGACGCAACATGCTTTTGAAGAAAGGTTGGGACATAACTGACATAACTCGAAGATGCTCTCTGAAAAAAAAAGTATATAATGTGTTGATTAATGTGTTGTTTCGTTCCAATCTCCACATCCATCGTTCATCATCGTTCACTCTAAGCCATCAAGGAGTTTTAGACCAACGGATATAAATGGGTGATGCGCAGCCCTGTACAGCTTTGTTTTTTGTAGAAAGAGGTAATGTTTTTGTTTGGCGCTGTCAAGGTGGTGGTCATCACTATGCTCGCGACTGTCCAGACATGGGCAAGGGTCGTGGAAAGGGCCGAGGCGGAGTGAAAGGAAGCTACGGAGGCGGAACGACCTTTGAATAGCGAGCTTCCCAGATTTGACAACAGATGTACGCTGTGCAGATTGTGGAGCAGAAAGGAACAGAAAGGAACAAACACAATGAGATCAATGAGTGCACAGAAAACAGACACAAAACAGACACAATGCTGCAATAAGCTCGATACATTTGCATGCAATTGCCGTAGCTCTAGGGGCAAACATTCTGATCCCAGAATGCAATCTGTGGATGGAGGAAAAAGGGTGACAACATTGAACTATGAAACTTACGCAAACAAGATCAGACATTGAACTATGAAACTTACGCAAACAAGATCAGAGTTGTTTTTTTCAATGCCGGAATTTGTCCGTGTTTCCGCTCAAGACAAGAAGATGCAAAGCTATCAGTCAGAGTAGTGCGCTGACAGGAAAAAGCGTTTGCATTGACTTCCGCTGGGATGCCCAGAACAAGTTGCATGGCTTGCGCAGACAAGTTATTGGCACACGTATTCGCCAATCTGCCAGTCTGATCAAGACAAAAAACTCAGGAGACAATGGCATTTGCCGCTTTGGTATTGAATGCCGGTTCGCCCATGACACCTGAGCCCAAGAATTGTTTGAAGATGAGTGAAGATAATTCTGAATCATAATCAGAATGTGACAAATTTGTGCGATGGCCTGGCAAAAATGGCCAGTGCAAGAAATACATAGAAATACCAATGCTTGTGCATCTTTGCTGCATTGCCCATTGTTCATAACTTGCAGGTTCGTCTACCAACTGAGTTCAGACTTGTCATGTTTTTACATTGTGGCTCTTGCTACGTGCTTTCTTCTTTAGCCCAGGAACATGCAGTCTTCAGTATCATCCACAGGGGCAAGTTCATATGTTGCTCACACACACACACTGCTATTCTAAATTATCTTGGTAGAGATTGGTGGAGATGATGTTTCCTAGATTTTTTTGGTGTTCAGACGGAGAAGATTTCGCCACACCGATACATGTTGCAACTCTGTTGTCTCATCCATGAACACCGGCGGGGCAGTTACACGATGTTGCATGCCACTTCAAAGAACCCAGTCAGATCTATGAACTACAGATAGCTACCTGGCAGCTACCTTCCAAATTGACCAAAGTGAAGAGACGTATTTGAAAGGTCATCGTTTTTCGGGAAATTTAGCTAAGACTCACTCTTCAAAAAACTACAACGGGTTATTGCATTTGTATATTATTTGTATGCGTTTGTGGGATTAGTAGCTCACACAAGCTGATTGGCTACTTCTCCAGCACATAGGCTTGCGCGATGCCAGAGACACATTCTTGTGTTTGCTTTCACTATCCTTTTCACTTGTCAGCTAGTTTGACCGTGCCTCGTCATACATGATATACATGTGTAGATGCAAGATAATGTAAGTATAGTATGAATGGATACATTAATATACACATGTAGGTGTAAATACAGGAAAATCAGCAGTACGTAGGTAAACATGCAGCAATTAATATAAAGCACATACCTACATGTGCATGTGGATCTCAAATTTGGAGAAATGCGGTGACGAATCGGTCTAGGGCAGTGCTGACAGGCTCGGCTTGCGCTGAAAGTGTTGCAAGCCTTGATGTGAAAACAGGTTTGAAAACCGGTAGACTTGTTTGCCGTGGGCTGGCAAGGTCAGAGTCGTGTGATCTTACACTCCGCTGAAACATGCTCCCTGCGCCGTTCTGCAACTTGTGGCTCTGACAGTTTCGATCGCCTCAAGGCTAGCATTTGCCCTGTGTGGCATTCAGAGTACAAGGCTACACTGATTGCACTGCAACATTTTGCCCATTGCAATCTCCCTGTATAAATCCACTTTATATATACGTATATATATATATATATGTCAATTTGCTGCGGAAGGATCCTGAATGTTATTTGCAGACGGAAAGCATGCTTCACATTGTTTTATATTGTTTTAATATTTTGCAGTTCCTGTTCTAGATTGTTTGCACCGTTTAGAGTTGCAGTTGTCCCCTGTGCTGTGGTCCAGTGGACGCTGCTTTTATACTTGGAAGGACAGTGCTCGTGAAGCTTCGAATGCAGAAATTTCAGTTCCTCATTGCGGGCATCCCGCTGTCCCCCCTGCACAATTCCATTTCAATCGGGCAGGAGCTACTGATAGGGGGCTCAATCACTATATGTAAATATCTAATATATTTACATTTTTGAAAGCCAGTCTTTTCATGCTTGCCTTGCATATTCATGTAGCATTTCCTTCTTGCTCGCAGCAAAGTCTCTGTACGGCACTCTTTGCATCTGAGAGACAAGACCTTTTATTTTCGCATGTTGACTCCACGCACATCGGATTTCTTGAACTCTGGATTTGCTGCCAGAGGAGCTTTGTTTGCGCGGTCATAATGTTACAGTCTTCAGCTTTGCAGACAGAGGAGGGACATAAATATATAAATCCAACTGATTGGAGATTGGACACGCAAATTTCACTCTTGATAGTGAGCACGGCTTTGCATGATGCAGAGGAATCATATCAGCATTGGCATCATGGATTTGATGTTTTTTTGAAACGGTCGTGACCCGAGACATTCTTTGCTTGCAGCATTGTGCAGGAAGAAAAAAAGTGGAGAAGTATTCCTCCAGATGCAGCCTGGCAGCACCATCAGGACCTTTCCGTTGAAGCAAAACCTCAAGGTTTTTGGACACTTCGTCAAGCACATTGAGATACATCAAGGCTGTTGATGCCATTTGGTAGAATTACGAACCGCTAAACTTGACATGAACATTTCACGAAAATATCATGTTCTTGGACAGGTCATCTCAACGGCCACCGAGGCAAGCTAGGCTATGTGAATCTGGGCCCATTGCCTGTTAGTGAGGAGAAGGAAGAGCAAGTGGTCCTTACAGGAATGGCCACCAATAGTACGAGGAAGCAGGCTGATGAATCAATCGTGATGTCAATGTTTACTATGTAGAAACTTGAAATGAGAGACCATGATGCTTGTCACTTTGAGACTTGCACACGATCCGAGCCAGCATAGTGAATCAACACCATTGCTATCCAACCAGGCACATATAGGCACTTGTTGTTTTCATTTTGTGCTGTGCTTTTGAATCTCTCAGCTGATAGTAGACTCGTCAGTCCGTCTTTTGTGCTGTATCGTCAGATAACCCACGTGATGAATAACCTCATGCTGCCCTACAACGATGCCTTGGCGAACGCAATGGAAGCATACTTCAAAGGTTCCCCCGCGACGCTTGCAACGCTTGCTGCAACGCTTGCTTAGATTCTTTAGATATGATCTATCATGATCATTCATGATCTATGTAATCTTGACCTTATGGGTGTGCATGCAGACACACATTGTAGATCACTGGTTTCGTTGGAATGGAGAAGGCTGTGCTGTTCAGCGGTGAGATGTGAAGAAACAGTTCCTTTTGAGCGGAGGAAGTTTGATTATGCTTTGCTCGGCTTGCCCTTCGGGCGAACTGGACAACTGTTGCGACAGCATGGGATAGACTTTGCAGTAGCCAGACATCAAGTGAGACTGGCCCTTGGCCACAACACTGCCAAAGTCCAATGGTATGTTGAAGATGAGGGGATGAGGGGCTGTGAGTCACATGGTAAGGAAACAACGTGGAACAACCAGGACGACTGAATTGCCAGAAGATTTTGTGATATTTTGCAGAAACATGTTACAGACTCAGTACTGGACACTGAACCAGAACGGTTTCAAGCACGGCACCTGAACCAAAGTAGGAGTCCATAGGAGTCCCAAGCCTGTGAAATTGCAGCGTGGGTAGGCTTGTGCCGCAGGGTTCGCATTCCAAGGTAAACATCCCAACAATTGTGGTCCCTCCGCTGGTTCCGTTGCTTTGGCGCAAAAAACGATGGACATATGATTTAACATATGATTCAAGAATCCTCAAACTGATGAAACTGAGCTTCAGAAACGTGCTTTGAATTGAATTGCAACAAGGAGCAACTCACAATTTATGCTCAGACAGAAGTACAAAATTACAACTTTCATTTTCTACTATAGATCTTTTTGGCTGAGGTGGGCTGCTCCGTATGTGCCCATCCCGTTTTACCACGTGAGTGTGCACAACATGACTTTCTTGGACAGGCAAAGCTTGAGATGGGAATGTTGCCACTGCTTCCAGTATCGTGCAGATTTGTCCAAAGAATTGTCGGATAGTGCACAGTTTGGCAGATGTGTGTATGCGTGCACACCCTGTGATGAATTGTGCCGCATGATGCCACATGTTTAAAAGTAGTTTCGGCCCAAGCGTGGGCACCATACTTGCACACAAAGCTGCATTTTTTTTTGCAAATTAGTCTTTGGAATGCTGACACACACACACACAATAGCACTTTGTGTTTTCGTGTGATGATTGAAACATTTTGTTGCAGGGTTTTGGTGATTGGCGGCAACACGCTGATCAATTTCTTTCGTGCGTACGCCTATTCAGTGGGATTCAAGTTCACCCTTGTTCCTGAGATGGGACTGGTCCTCAGACAGTGAAGTGTTTTCAAGCCAAACTAAAGCAGTGCATTCTCAGGATGGTCAACCAAAATGTCACTGTTTCTGTATCAAGTCAATGCAAGGGGATTGGCTCATGCTGAAGCTTTTCTGCATGGCACTGCATGGCACTGCATGGCACTGCATGGCACTGACTTGTGAGATTGGGACCTTTGGAATGGGCGTCTTGTCTTCGTGAACACCATTCCCGGTATGGACATCACGCAACCGCTGCCTCCTTTGGTACAATACACTGGGCCGGTCGTGGACGTGAAGAAGATGGAGCCCTTCTCAGATGATGTTGCGACGCATGGCTGAGCGTTTCAATGTTTTAGAACATTTAAATCATTTAATTAAATACATTTAAATACATTGTAGACCTCCTTTAGAATCTTTAGAAGTAAAAAGGTCTTGAGCTCCGGACAGGATGGCAACAGATTCTTCAGAGGCTTGCATACACGATTACAATATATTACAATATGACAATATCTTACAATACTGTTACAATTAACACTGAGAGAGGACATGGACAATTGCAATATGCTAAGTGGAACAAAGTGTTCTACTTCCGTGTGCTCACATGAAGTGTATATTTAGTTTCATACACTAAACCTGTTTTCCACTGTATATATACATGTATATGCGCATACAATCACATGCAAATAATAGAGATATACCGTGTATAGCTGCGTGTATAATTATTTCGCGGGCGCGTAGCTCTGAACTGCTTTGCATTTACGCTGATTCAAGCTGACCTTACCTTTACGTTGCCTCCATATATCTCTATAGTCTCAAGTTTTTGAACTTGCAAAGAACTAAAGACGACTAAAGAGGATTCGAGGAAAGTACAAAGATTGGAGGGATCCACCGAGTTGTTCCTGTCAAGAGGCAAATAGTGGCCACAGCGTCACAAATAGGAGCTGAGTTGAACCAAATGTTTAGGAGCTCCTTTGAGCTCCTGCATTTGGCTGTCATTTGCTGCATATTGAGGCATATTTGCAGGTAAAAACACATTTGGATATTTACCTTGTCGTATCCACACTGAACAAAGTGAGTGCTTGTTACCTGATGTGTTTTCTCGCAATACACATGCAGTCGCATGCAATGTATGTATTGTGGGAAGTTGAAGCTGAAAAACCTATGATTGCGCATTTGAAGAGAATGAACGTAATTATTGTGCGCGTGACTCCAGAAAGATAAAACATGCAGCTCGAAGTAAGTAGCATTTTTCTCATTTCATTGTTAGTCTCAGACGACACGTTTCAGGTCAGCTTGAAAGATAGGTTTTATGTTTGCACACCGTGGCCACCGTTGCCTCCAATTACCAAACTGTGACCGAGCTATGACCGTTTTCTGATTTTTTCTCAAACAACTTTGACAAAGGCAGTGGCTCGAAGAGGTGCCCGAGGATATGCCGGTGGTCTATGTCAGCTTCGGAACTGTCGCCAGACTCACGCCGGATCGGGTCGAAATCTAAGCTCACATTGGTTGAACAGGTTGAACGACAGAGAACAGCATGGTCAGACGGTCAGCTTGCGTCAACTCATCGCAACTCTGTCAATTTTTGCTGAGGTTCACCACATTTTGAGATTACCACTAAGGCCAGAGCTATGTTGTCAACTCTCACTTCTTCAGAGTACTACACATTGTGGGCCTTGCCAAAACCACAGCAAGAGGGCTTGCCAGGACTGGAGATGGGGCAGGGGCCGACGGGGACGGGGGAGATAGAGCTGTAGTCAGTCTACAGAAAAGGTGTTCAAGCATTCAAGCACTTGTTTTCCAAAGGTTCGTTCTCTTTTGGGATCATGTTTCATTTTCCTCCTTTTGGGCATTGATCGTTGTCCACCCCGACTCTAGCTTGACCACTGCGGAGCCTTTTGAGGCGACATTCCAAGCAGTGTAAAGATTCATCACTGGGTGCCAACTGCACGAGCGCTGGCACATCCTAAAGTCAAGGCCTTCGTTTCGCATTGTGGAGGCCTGCTAGAAATTGTCGAAGCCTTTCTCTAAGACTTCCTGTAACTCAAGGTATCTCTATGTATTTCCCCAGGTTTGCCAGTTCAGATATGCTCTTTGTCTGCTTTTTGTCTGCTCTTTGAGATCTATTCGTATCATTTTGTGTTTGTTTGCCTGTTATGCTTTTGCCCAGGCAACTCAGCTACCGAGTCCATGGCTTTGGGCGTGCCGTTGGTCGGCTACCCTCAGTTTGGCGTTTGGACCTCAGTTCGTAGCCAGTCTTCTCTGAGAGCTACTAAATGATGTGAAACGTAACATAAAACATAAAACATACCCTTAAAATTCTTTAAATGTTGCGACGAAGAGGTATATGATCATATGAATCATATGAATCATATGAATCATATGAATCATATTATATATATAAATATTGTTACATATTTTTGTGTTTGCAAGGTAGACCACGGCTATTGCAAAGCAGCAGGGACCGGATCTCACGCCTCAGTGTGGCTCCCCCGCCAAGTGGGCGTTGAGTGTCAGGCGTCTTTTTGCATTGTTTTTGCTTTGTAACGATAAGATAGCCTGTTTATACATAACCTACATGAAGTCTAAACATAATGCAGACATACCATCCAGACATACCATCTAGACATCATATGATTTAGACTTACAATTTAGACATATAATTTGTACACGTCATTTGTACATGCAGTTTACACATGTGATTTACACATGCTTACATAACTGATTGCCAGACAAGTGACCGTATATCATGTGATGTCAATGCCCAAGAGGTCCCAAAGACGTTTGCCAACAGGAAACACTCAGCAGTGTCATGATTGCAACGCCATCAACGCCTGCCCCAATGCTTCTCAGGACCAGCCTGCAGTTTGCCAAAGAATTGCTGATGCTGGCGCTGGTATCACAGGCAGTTGTGAATTCCATTGGTGCCATTGCTCATGCCGCCTTTGAAATCGCAGATCCTGTATTCTTGATTGGTCACAACATGTCACAACATATTGCGATATATTACAATTATAAATTTACTATTCAAACAAATCATTTGATTCCGTATTTCTTTCCCGATCTGATGTTTTGTGAATTCGGGCTAGGACCTCCTGGTGGCTGGGTGCAGTCTGCGGATGTGCTTCATGTCTTGAATACAGAACGCTATGCGGAGCGGGCGGTTGCCATGTCTCGGCTCTTGGAGAGATTCGGAGGTGTGTCATGTCCTCAGACCCAGGCTTCACCTGTCGCAATGAATCGCTCCATCCACGCACTGCCGCGCTGCACTGCACTCAGTCTGACTCAGGTCCCGAGCTGTGGATCTACTCGAGCTTGCTGTGCACGGTGATTTGAAGCTGCTAGAGACCCCCCTGGAGCGTAGCTTGGACATTGGGTACGGATGGACAAGGGCAAACAGCTTTAGGCATCCTTAGGCTTTCCAAAGCCGATTTATACCTTTCCATACATTTCCATGCTTTTCCATGCTTTTCGCACTTTGCTCTAGGTACGAGCAGCTCACAATTCTTTCTACGAGGTGCTCAGAGCAACAGCTCCTAAAGATGGACCAATGAACTCCTTCCATTGAGCTGTGCTTGACAGGCTATGACCTCATGATCTACTTGAACATCCTTGTCTTCATGTTCGCATGTTGTTGTGCCTCTTCCAAAGCCTAAGATACACACAGAGGCAGTTGTGGACCGTTGCATTGCAGTTTATTGAAAAAATGGGGCGTTATCTTGCGGCCTCAAGACAAGTGTGTGGTATGCATTTGGAAGTCAAAGTTGACAGATTCCGGATCATTTTGGATCATTTCGGTTCATTTTGAGGCATGCGGTGCTGCAGCAGGAGACCAGCTCCAGCCAAAGAGAAGAAAGAGAAGGTGCAATGAGACTTGGCACAGCTTGGCACAGCAAGGTCAGCCAGGCATACTGTGGACTGGCCCAGTAGGGCTCAGTAGCCAAACAGCACTAAACAGCTCTTCAGGTCCCCGCACAGATGCCCTATCGTGTTTTGCGTGCTTTGAATGCGTTTGAATGGCTTATTTGTATATATATATAACACACATAAATACATATGGTCATCGATCTAAAGGTCCATACATATATACGTATACCAGTAGTACCGCACAAGGCGGTGGCGGAAGTTTCAAAGATAGGACACTATAGGAGAGGTGAGTTGTTGAGATGCAAGGATGGCAGAGCGAATCCACTGATGGACCGAAAGGTGGTTGGAGTTTTTGTTCTCTGCAGTGGTTGCAATGGTTGCAGTGGTCACCTCACCACAACTCCTCGATGTAGTGTGGTGTAGCGCAGTTGTAGTTGTAGTTTCAGTTGTAGTCGTAGTGTAGTTGTAGTTGTAAGTTGTAGTTGTAATGTAGTGTACTTAGTGTAGTGTAGTTGCGGTTGCAGTTGTAGTTGTAGTTGTAGTTGTGGTGTGGTGTAATTATTGTAGCGTATTGTGGTGTACTGTAGTGTCGTGTACTGTAGCGTGGTATAGTGTAGTGTAGCCTAGTGTATTGAAGTGTAAAGTAGTGTAGTTGTAGTTGTCGTGTAGTGTCGTGTGGTGCAATGTAGTGGTAGTTGCAGTTGTAGTGTAATGTAACGTAACGTAACGTAACGTAATGTAATGTAATGTAAGTAGTGTAGTGTTGTGTAATGTAGTGTAGTTGTAGCTGTAGTTGTATTTGTAGCTGAATGTACTGCAGGTGTATTGTAGTGTAATGTAGTGTAATGTAGTGTAGCTGCAATTGTAGATTAGCTGTGGTGCCGGCGGCGGCAGCAGCAGCAGCAGCAGTAGCAGTAGCAGTAGCAGTAGCAGTAGCAGTAGGAGTAGTAGTAGTAGTAGTAGTTGTTGTTGTTGTTGTTGTTGCTGTTGTTGTTGTTGTTGTTATTGTAGAAGTTGTCGTGTAATTAGTGTAGTGTAGCGTAATCAGATGTAATTAGATGTAATTATATAGATGTAATTAGCGTAGTGTAGTGTAATTAGTGCTGTGTAATGTAGCGTCGTATATGTGTACTTGTTGTTGTAGTAGTAGTAGTAGTAGTAGTGTAGTGGTACTTGCAGTTGTAGTTGCAGTTGTAGTTGTTTATCTGTCTATCTG